GACCTTCGATTTCGACTACGCTCAGCTCCAAGGCACATCATTTACAGCATAACTTAAGGCTAGAAGGGTTATCTGTCACCAAAAGACCTTCGAGTTCGACTACGTTCAGCTCCAAAGCACATCATTTGCGGCATAACGCCAGGCTAGGAGGGTTATCTGCCAACAAAGATCTTCAAGTTCGACTACGCTCATCTCTTAGGCACATCATTTACAGCATAGCCCCAGGTAAGAAGGGCTATCTGTCAAGATGATTGTCGAGTTCGATTTCAGTCAGCTCGATGACACCTCAATCACACTACTGTTCGACTGCAATCGAGGTTTTCAAGTCGAGAAGAAGACCTGGGTTAACCGTGCCTTAGTGACAAAGAAACTATTTTCCGGCAGCATAGCTTAAGTCGAGAAAAGCCATCTGTCGATGAAGACCTTTCGAGTTCCATTTCATTTAGCTCAAAGGTCTATCAACTGCATATTGGAGTCAAGAAACTACTTTTCAGTCGAATTTTAACCAAGGTCTTTAAACTGAGAAGAAGACTAAAGTTGACTACAATTTGGCAATGAGAAGCCACGTTCCAGTTCAAATCTCGAACTACGACTTCAATTCCTTCAAGATGGACTCGACTTCGCGACGAAGGAGCTATCCGCAACACAATCCGACAGGGAGTTATTCTTAATTTATCAGAGTCAAGTTTTCAACTCCGCCTGACGAAAATTTGTGTCCTTTTGTCTTTGTCCTATTTTTTGTTCCACGAAAAAGGACAAAGAGGGGCAGCTGTAGACACCTAATTTTCATCCTTTTTTTATGAGTACCACAAATTATATTATATAATTTTAATTATATTTTATAGCATAATTTTATTTACATTCATATGTTTATTTTACACTTGCAGGTCCATTATACAAACATTTGCATATGGCCCAGCCAAGACCCAAACAGTGGGTGACCCAGCAATTCACGTGACCCGTTTGGCACCCGAACCGGATCCAGTGGGGGGTCCAAACCCGAACCGGTCCAGCTAGGGTTTGAAACCCTAGCATTCTTTTCCCATTTCAGCGCCGTTTTGAAGACCCTTCGGCTAGCTACGCCTCTCCAACCCCGAATCATCCGCCGGCCGTTTCGCTCACCACCAACAAACATGCATGAGTGGAACACAAACAAAACAAGAGTTTTATTAGGATATAAACTCCTAAAAATAGCATCATTCTGGATATAAATAAGCTTGTAAATAACATTCGAGGGGGGGAGAAATCCACAGCCATTGTAACTCAATCATCAAAATCAATAAAAGATTTTCTTTTAGTTAAAAGCTTCCCTTTTGTTTCATGCTTTTTACATACATCTTGGTAGCTCGAATAAAATTTGATGAAAGCAGTAACCACCGACGAAACATGCAAAACAGAATGAGAAGGTAGAGGACAAACCAAAAAACGACATACCTGAAAATTTTGACGATCCAAAGGTGGAAGGAGACAGATCGGAGCAAGAGAAGTCCAGCGGTTTTTGACTTTTCGTTGGAAACGAAATCTTTTTTTTTTTTGAAGGATAAATCCTGGATTTGGACCCAAAGGACCGATACGAGTCACCCGTTGGATTTGGTGTCCATCGGCGACCAATCACGATGGTAGCTGGTCGACCGACGGTCGTGACTGACAACAATGGAGAGCTGAACGTATAAGAAAGGGAACAGGGAAAGCTTCTGAATTGCAAATGAATTAAAAAATTTTGTTATTATTGCTTTTGCAGGAAACCAACTCATCCCACGTGAAAGGAAAGGGAACAGGGAAAGCTTCTGAATTGCAAATGAATTAAAAAAATTTGTTATTATTGCTTTTGCAGGAAACCAACTCATCCCACGTGAAAGTAAACTTTGGGGTAAACTCTCCCATTGGTCCTTCAAGTATTATGGGTAAAATCTTATCAAGGCCCTCTGAACTTTGTAAATTTCCATCATGGTCACTGATGCAATTTTATTTTTTCTTATTCCGATCTCTTAATTCCGTAATAGTTTCGTTTTAGTCACTATTTTTTGTGTGTTGGGTATTTTGGGTTGATTTTCGAATTTTACCTTATGATTTATCCCTTTTTCTTTTTAGTCACTATTTTACATTTAGTTTAATTATCATTTAGTCCTCCATATTTCTTGATTAATTTAATTATTTATTAATTTGTTTTTGTTTTATATATATATATATATATATATATATATATATATATATATATATTACTAAATTTCATTTATTTTTTTATCTATTTTCTTTTTTTTTTCTTTTTACATATTTACTTTTATTTTATCTAACATTTTTAGTAGTAATTCCAACCCATTGGAGGTAAATAATTCAAATCGGGTAGTTTAAATTTAAATTTAATTTTTTTTTTAACTTTTCACAACTAAGACAACCGATAAATTAATTGGTACCGAAAGGGCAGTTCAAGGGTGCTAATCCTTCCTTGACTGTAACCGACTCCCGAACCCGACACATTTCTGGTACAACGCAGATCAGTTAAGATGATGTCCGACCCACCTAAATTCGTTTTAAAATGGTCGGTGGCGACTCTAACCACATTTAATCTAAGTCGAAGCCCAATTCCGGGCCCAACAGAAAGACGGTTCCGACAGCTATAAATTTTATCATTCAACTTTCTTTTCACTCTTATTTTAGTTAGTAAATTTTAAAAAATTTAATTTATTTATCGGAATTTTAATATGCTCCTATTTTGATCATCTTATCGTTAAATACTTAACAACGTTTTATGACTGGACATTTTTCTTTTAAAATTATAAAATCCATCAAAACTTTCTTATTTTTTGTGAGCCGCCACTTAATTTTTCATTCCTTTTAATTTCTTGATGATAAAGTATCGTCTTCCAAATCTCAACAGTAAAGTTGGAGAAGGAGGAAGCGAGTTATATATCTTGATTCCATACTAACTAGATGATGGATATTATAGATCAGAGCAGTTTGAGATTTCATGAGTTTTGATTTTAAAGTTGAGGTTTGTGCGTTTAAAAGTGATTTAGGTATTAAAAAAAATTCTAGATTGATAGAGTGTTAGGAGACAATGAATCGGTTTTGTTGATATCTTGAGTAGTCAAAGAATACGCCAAATAATGATAATTGCAGTGCCCGTGTGACTCAAGGATGAAATTGTAAAACTTTTTTCTGGATAAGTAGAATTTTATTACCCAAACATAAAATGTTCATCATACAACAGTCATCCCAATTGGGAGTAATAGCACATATTTATAGACAAAAGGCTAGTCTATATCCCAATAATTACAAAGCCTATAATTAACAAAATCTAGTCTATTTATGCCCTTGGTACTGAGTTTGATTCGAATAAGCTCTTTTATAGCCGTAAGAAGTTGGTCTACTGTTCTTGTCCCTCTTTTGAAAATTCTTCTGTTTCTCTCTTCCCAAATGAAGTATATGAAAGCAGTCCATGCGATCCTCAATATGCTGGAAAGAAGAGATTTACCCTTTCATGTTTGAGCAGCCCAATCAAGCCTTGAATCCCAGGACCTATGAATATCTCGCATGCTAGAAAGATTCATAACAGAATTCCATAGAGAAGCAGCATAAGTACAGTCAACAAACAAATGATTTCTAGTTTCATGATCCAGAATTGTAAAACTTTTATCTTTAGAGAAAGAAGATAAAATCAATAAAAAGAAGAAAAAAAGGGGGGAAATGTCATGGATGACAAATGATTTTTATGTATATAAATAGCAATCTACATCATCACAATTGTCTGTCACGTCATCCTTATATCTATGATTTAATACATGAGTGATTAAAATAGAAACAAATCAAAATGTTTGGTGAATATTTTTTTAAAGTTTAGTGCTTAAAATAGGAGTGAGAATAAAATCGAAAGATGAAATGTATAATTTGCCAAATATATAAATAAATATTATATGCAGCGGAAGAGAATGGAGTTCTAATTGGTCCAAAAGCCGAAGGAAGTGGTTACATTTACATATACCCCAAAGGGTTTTTCAAAATCTTAAATTTTATGAAGAAACACTACGCTGAAAACATTCCCATCCACATTTCCGATCATGGTTTGGAAACCCTCCTATTTTCTATTGATTTATTTTCATTATTTTTCTTCGTATGATTGTTAATGTTCTTCTATAATATTTTTTCAGGTATTTCCCAAAAAAGAAACGATACTATATTGATTAATCAAATTATAAACGATCAACATAGAATTGAATATGTTCAGAAACATTTACAACAAATCACCAAAGCGGTTGAGTAAGTATTATTTATATGATCTTAACTTTTCCATTTTTTTAAAATATTCATGTTAAATATCTTTATTTAAAATATATTCGGAAATAAAAATAGGACATAATTATTTTAAAAACATAACCTATTTTTTCAAATACGATCTTATTTTAATCTAACTTAAACCATAAATCGTGTTAAATACCTATTTTTCCTTACTTATTTCGAATAGCATTATGTTTTAAATATATATGGTCACATACATTTGACTCACAGATGTGGGTTTGTGTTGGTTAGCAAGGGCGTGAACTTGAAAGGATACTTATACTGGAGTCTATTTGACGACTTTGAATGGCGAGTGGGATACGAGGCTGAATTTGGACTTTACTATATTGACTTTGCTGATAACATGAAGCGAATCCCTAGGAAATCTGCTAAATGGTATCATGATTTTATTATGGATGACAAAAAACCTTATTGAATACATATGTATAAACTTGAGGAAAAACAAGTATACTTTCATGAAGAATAAATACTCCAATGTTTAGTAGATTTACGTATATTAATGTTGCTATAAATGAAATGAGACAAATCGTGATCTATTTGAGTTCGACTTAATTAAAGTTCAGTTAATACTTAAATCAAATGGACTCAATTCGAGTTTTTAACGCGTATAAATGAACTATTTGAAAGTTTGGGATCAATTTAAAATCTATATCATAATATAAGGATGTATGGTGCAATTTTCAAAAAACGAAGAGGACAAGAACCAAACGTTTTTCATATGTTGTTAAAATCGAAATGTATGTACAATTGGGTGTTTTGTTTCAGAAAATGGCAGAACGGCGTCGACACATGCATTCCGGCACCGGAAAAGCAATCACATCGTTGTCTCTCTCCTTCTTCCTCGGCTCCGGCTTCATGGATTTATCGTGCAGTGATCTTATGATGCTACTCAATTCTTCCTCCGGAATCGATGAATCTTCAAACAATGGAAGCATTGCTCTTTTGTTCGGCCATATGCTTTTCCTATGTCCCACGTACGCTCGATGTCCCTGCAAGGCTCGCCCCATGTTTCCGCCGTGGGAAGGTATGAAGATGTCGCTGTTGAACGAGACGATGTAATCGATCGCCGATAGGACCGACGAGCGGTTGAGGAACGGCGAGAGTTCACCGTCGCGGGCCAACGATTCCTTCCGCACCAAGTTCGGGAACTCCGCAGCTAGTGGCGCTAAAGCTTTGGTGCTGCCACCAAATGGCTCTCCTCCGGCAATGTAAAACCGATAACTTTTTGGTGCCCCTAGAGCCTTTAAAAGCCTGCAACAAAACAACCATCAGTCTTATTTACCTTTAAAATTTGAGTAAATTCTGGTTCAAATGAATGAATTTCGATATTATTTATGATATAATGTCAAAATTAGTCTATAACATTTATTAAAATTCTCATTTTAGAACTAACATTTCATTTTAGGATTAAAAAGTCACTAATGTTTGATCAATTGGCCCTTATTTTTTTCTTTAAAACATTTTGGCCCTCAATATTTTATTTTTAGGTAAAATGGTACCTTATTTTAGATTGTTAATTGTTTGTTAACTAATGAGTCTTTTTGCCTCAAAATGACAAAAAGAATAAGGGTCAAAAAGATCATTTTAATAAATATTTGGGGACTAATTTTGACATTATAACATTATTTATTAACCTTGCCATCTCTAATGCATTTAGAGGGCACAGTCCCGACAGGCGTCGTTGAGTATAGCTCATGTTGACTCTCCCGGTGAGGTACTGAGGCTGAGATTTCTGAATCCGGGTTACGATTTTGTCGAATTCGGCACCTAATCCAGTGAGGCATCCGGTCCGAACCCACACATCTTTCTCAAGCCGGAGATGAAGGGCTACGTATGGACCTTCAATCCACATTCTTCTCGCTAGCTGGTTCCCAAGCTGGAGAATTGGCTTGGCAAATCTCAGTGCATGGAAAGCTACCTGCATATGAGTCATTAAATTATATGTTCTGATCCGGATCAAATACGAATATTTCAAGAAAAATGAAGAGTTTGAAAAAACTTGTGTTCGTAAATTAAACTCAAAGTACCTTACACCTAAGCTTCTGCAGATCAGACGGAAGATTCTTGGAGAGCTTAGAATCTAATCCTTTTAGCACAAGAACGCCTTCTTGATTGAGCTGAAACAAAGATAATATACCATAAGAATCATGTTCGTTTCGTTTTCGTCTTCGATACGAAATCGAATTCCGCTTACTTGTTTGAAGAACTTAGCACGGATCCAAAACGGAGAAACACCGTAAGGCATTTGTGTTACAATCGTCTGTTTAGCAATCAAATGAGACGATGGTAACGAAGACACAACTCGTACATCAGCTCTTAAAGTCTTCTTGAAGTGTTCCACATCGAATATATCTGGAAATTCACTGAAATTTCCCAATGATTTCGTCAAATATGAACCCTAAATTGCATGAAACTAAAAACCCTAAATCACATTCACCTTTCATCTTCCCATATCGTGTTAACTTGCAAGATCGGCAAAACTAAAGCAGCTTCGAGGATTCTAGAAATAACAACGGCATCGATGATTTGATTCCTTTGTTGGTTCAATCCACCAGCGGCAACGACGACCAAGAATCTGTTCTTCTCCATCGAAATCTTTGCAGATCTTTTACGGTACCCTATGGTTGAATCCAAGCAAGGACGGTAGCCATTTCCATCTGGTTGTTTCCAGAACTCAGCTTCTTGTTCGGATAAATCACCGGAAACCAGATGAACTGGTAATGGCACCATTGAAGTGCCGCCAACTCTGGGTTGAATCTCGTTGTTGGAGTTTAAGCCGGAAAGCAAAGATGCCAAGATGATCCGAGAGTAGGAAGACGGTAAAGAATGGGGTGAAACCGGGGACATTGTTGGAGATACGATGGAACATTGGATTGGATCTTGGGAAGCTGGAAAGAATCTGAAAATGGAGATTCCCAGGAAAGTGAAGGAAAAAACGAAAGAGAGGACGAAGATTGAGAGGGGTGGGGATGTTTTCTTGGTGGAGAAGAGTGATGTTAATGGTGAAACCGAGAACAACTGAGTCAATGATCTTGGACTCGGGGTTAAACTCATGAATGGGTTCTTGATGATCCTTCCTGATGATCTTGCCATTGATTTGGGATGAGTTTTCTTTCACAGATTCAGGTTAAGAAATGGAAACTGGACTGAGCTATCAGATACTTATGATTTTCCCCACATTTTCTTGGAGAAGACGAGAAGAAACTAAAGAACCAATGGTAGTTATTTAGTAGCAGAAACAGTTAAATTCTTCCCGGCAAAAAAACTTGAATGTGACATAATTCACCCGATTCACAATATCACGAATTAATTTCAATTTTTTATCGATAATTAAATTGGAATTTATTATAATTCTGAAATTCAATTGATAAATAAATTTTCTTAAATTTGTCTAGTTAAAAATTTGATGGGATATAAGGCACGGAGTAAAAAAGTCCGATTGCATTTTACAAATTTTTTATTAGTTGAACCTCATAGGTTATGATTGCATTTGTAATTCTGAGGACCGATGTCTCGTATGCTTGTGGTCTTTGATCTTTGAATACTTTGAACGTTAATCATCATCTAGGAACGGTAGAATGGGTGACGTACCCAAAACTATTACCCAAACTAACAACTATTCAAGTTTTACATATACTCAATTTGAGTATATTTGCAGTACCCAAAAAAATCAGATATCCAATATTTTAAGAATCCAGACATGAGAATATCTGATAAGATTATCAAAATGTAATATTATTTGACATATTATTAAGAATACTATAATATCTGGTAAGATTATCGTAGAAGAAATTCGATCAGTGGTATTCACGTGATTAGTGAGAGGGATAGTCATGTATGTTGAAACTTTATCCTGAGATACTCTCATAATAGTCAATAATGAATTTAATTAAATCTTTTATGTTGTAGTTATAACATACTACGATACTCTCATAATCTATTAAGATAGATCTTCGACCATCTATATTGTTACCCATAAGTAAAAGCAATAAAACTGAGCTATTCTTTTACAACTTATAAATCAACGATAAATTATATGATGTTTGTTAGAACAAAAATGATCGTCATACGTAAAATTCTTCATACAACTCTACATTTATTGTAGACGATTCACTATTGGGTTGAACTTTTTTGAAATTCTTGCCTTGAAATATGTGATAAACTCTTGCAACTAACTGAGCTCTGTATCGAAATGATCAAAGCAAATAACTTTTGTTTGTCTTTTTTATATAAAATTGAGAATATAAAAATAATATTTTTATTAGCGTTTTTTTTAAGTCAATACACGAAGAAAAATATAAATCAAAAAAATAATGAACGATGTTGTAAATGATAGTGAGCTTCAAACAAATGCCAAATTTCTATGGCACCTAAATCTGACGAAAACGAAGCAAATAAACCATATTCCTACAAGAACACTTAAAAAAACACTATTAGTATCCATTACACAAAATTGAGCACAACAGTGATGATTTCACTCACTCCTTGGGCTTCTTTTTCTTTTTAGTTTCACTTGCAGCAGCTCCATCTTTGCTCTTCTTTTTCTTCTTCTTGGTTGTTCCTTCTTGCTCGGACACATCCCCATTGACGTCGTTAGTTTTCTCTGCTCCGTGTTCCTGCTCTTGCTCCATCTTTCTTTTCTCTTTTTTCTTTTTCTTCTCCGGTTTAGCATCGTCCTCGGGAGCATCTCCATTTGTAGCCGCGACAGGGGTGTCTTCAGATTTCACTTTCTTTTTCTTGCTCATTTTTGTGGAAGCTTCGATGGGCGGGGCTTCTTCAATTTCTACATCTGCATAAAGCATGGTAATATAGATGAGAACTTTAAAAGGAAATCATAATTTCCAAAGCCAATAAACTAAGTGCTGTAAAATGTCAGATTTGCACCTGAAATTTGTGAGAAAGGATAGAAGAAGAAGAAAAAGGGAGTTTACAGAAAACGGATTCTTAATTTTCATTCATAGATTTTATTTTTCTTCCATTACATCCTATATATTGCTTAGATAGACCAATTATTTAGTTATAGCTGTAATATTCTTTCTAACAAAATAATTGTCTCTGTCCAGCTCAGCTTTGGCCCATTTCATCCTTGCTTATTGAATTCCTTCAGCCCGCTTGCCACGCTAATATCAGATAAAAGTCAGGTAATAATTTCTAAATCCCCAATTCATTCCTCATCCCTAATTCGTTCCTCATTTTCCCCATTTCCTCATCGCCAATCTCTAATTCGTGACCCCAAATCCCTAATTTTCCTTCCAGGACCATGACAATACCTCTTCCTACAGTTGATGCTTGTCCCCAAGGATCGAAGTCAGGAAATTGTGATTTCAACACTGTAAAGTCTTCCCAGGTAGCATTTTCTGGTCCCAAATTCGCCCATTGTATTAACAATTGAGTTACTGCCTTTTTATCTTTCTTCACCATTCGTTTGTCTAATACCACAGCTGGATAAACACGAAGCTGTCCATCCGCATTAACTTCTGGTGGATCTCGAGAGGTAACTGTCTTGTTCCCAATCTTCTTCTTTAGTAAACTAATATGAAAAACATGGTGTATCTTTGAACTGTCAGGCAATTGCAATTTATAAGCCACTGACCCAATCCTTTCGATGACTTTGTAGGGTCCATAGTACCTTGCAAACAACTTCAAATTTTTCCTGAGGGCCACTGAGGTTTGTCTATAAGGCTGTAACTTGAGGTAAACTTCATCACCAACTTGAAACTCTCTGTCACTTCTCTTTTTATCAGCATAATATTTCATGTGTTGTTGTGCCTTATCTAGCTGGTCTTGTAAAACAGTATTCATATTATCCCTATCTTGTAATAATTGTTGCACATCTGTTACTTTAGAGTCTGTTAGCCATGTCATAGTAGGGGAAATATATCCATACAAAGCTGTGAATGGAGTTGTTCCCAAAACAGTATGGAAACTTGTATTATACCACCATTCAGCTTGTGATAACCACTTACTCCAATTAGTAGGCTTCATAAAACACATTCCACGCAAATACTGTTCTAGGCACTGATTTAGTCTCTCTGTTTGACCATCAGTTTCTGGATGGTAAGCTGTAGTGAATAGGGCAGTAGTTCCTAGGAGCTTCATTAATTCGATCCAAAAAAGGCTGGTAAAAATTGTCTCTATCAGATAGAGTTATCTTTGGTTGCCCATGTAGTTTATAAATCTGATCCAAGTAGATTTTAGCTACATCTGCTGCAGTGAAGGGATGCACCAAGGGTAGAAAATGTGCATACTTGGTAAACTTGCCAATAATAACCAAGATGCAATTATACCTGTTAGAAGTAGGGAGACCTTCAATAAAGTCCATTGTAACAAATTCCCAAGCTTGTTGAGGAATTGGAAGAGGTTGTAATAGTCATGGTTTTAACACATGTTCATCATTTATTCTTTGACAGATATCACACTGCTGCACATAGTTTTTAACCATGTTTTTCATCCATTTCCAATAGAAATAAGATTTCACCCTGTGGTAAGTAGCTTGTATACCTGAATGACCACCTTGTGGTGAGTCATGTAGAGCTTGTAGAATCTGTTGTCTTAAAGAACCAGTTTCCCCAATATAAACCTTACCTTTATATCTTAGGATACTTCTGGAATAAGACCAGTTTGTTGCCTCTTTGTTAGAAATAGCTAACTTAGTAACCATTTCAGCAACTAGGGAATCACCTTGATAGCTTTGTTCAACCTCTTGAACCCAAGTAGGAATGACAACAGTAGCAGTCATTTGCTGTAACTCTACTTCCTCCTCATCTCTTCTGGATAATGCATCTGCTGCCAGATTGTGTCTGCCCTTCCTGTACTGAATTACATAATCCAGTCCCAATAATTTTGTAAGCCCTTTTTTCTGTATTGAAGTAGTTAGCTTCTGTTCCAACAAATGCTTAAGAGCTTCATGGTTTATTTTAATAATAAATGGCCCTCCTTCTAAGTAATGTCTCCATTTAGAGATAGCCATGAGTATGGCTAGGTACTCTTTTTCATAAATGGATATATACAATTGCTTAGGTCCCAGTGCTCTGCTTAAATAAGCCACTGGTCTGCCTTCTTGAGACAAAACAGCTCCTATTCCCCTAAAACTTGCATCTGTCTCCAAACAAAAACTTTTATTGAAATCAAGTAATGCTAGGACAGGAGCATGACACATTGCACCTTTTAAAAATTCAAAAGCAGCTTTACTTTCCTCTGTCCATTGAAACTGGTCCTTCTTTAACATAGTAGTTAAAGGCTTAGCAATCTCTCCATATCCTTTTATAAATCTCCTGTAATACCATGTCAGCCCAAGGAAACCCCTTAAGGATTTAAGAGTTTTTGGCAGCTTCCATTGTTGCATTGCATGTATCTTTGCTGGATCAGTAGCCACTCCCTGCTTAGATATAATATAGCCCAAATATTCCACCTCCTGTTGACCAAAGAAGCATTTTGTTCTTTTAGCAAATAGATGATTCTGTTTGAGGACTTCCAAAACAGTCCTAAAATGCATGACATGGTTCTTTAGATCAGAATTGTATATAAGTATATCATCAAAGAAAACTAGTACAAATTTTCTTAAGTAAGGACCAAACAACTTGTTCATTAATACCTGAAAAGTAGTTGGGGCATTTGTTAATCCAAAAGGCATAACCTTGAACTCAAAGTGACCATGATAAGTCTTAAAGGTTGTTTTAGGAATGTCTTCAGGAGTGATTCTAATCTGCCAATACCCTGATCTTAAATCCAGTTTAGAAAAATAGGTTGCTCTAGTCAACTCATCCAACAAATCTTCTAATACAGGAATTGAAAATTTGTTTTTTATAGTTAAGGCATTCAATTGCCTATAATCAATACACATTCTCCAACTTCCATCATTCTTCTTGACCAACAAACAAGGGGAAGCAAATGGGCTTTTACTTGTCTGTATTATGGAAGATGACAACATTTCCTTAATTTGTTTTTCCACTTCTGACTTCTGATGATAGGGCACCTGTAGGGTCTAATGTTCACTGCTTCTGTACCCTCTTTTAATGTAATAGAATGATCATGTTCTCTTGAAGGTGGCATCCCTTTTGGTTCCTCAAAAGCAGCTGAATACTCCTCTAATAAACTCTGTAATTCCACAGGTACCATGTTAGTTCTAACTTCCCCACTTAGCATAAAAATTTCCCCTGTTATATCAC